TTCCTTCCAAGAATGTGGAAGTTTATCTACTATGCCACAAACAATAAGGTTATCTCCAATTTTAACCTCTTCGAACCTAAGCTCTCCAACAGTCATTATGAAATCTTGATCTTGATCTACCACTGATTTGTTGTACACCATATGAAAACGAAAAATTCTACTAGTTGCATATTTTTTCGCTCCAGCCTCTTCAGTATCATACTTACTCTGCAATACTTTTCAAATTTTCTTTGCACTAGAGTACGTTTGATCATAAATAATCATAAAAATTATCTGATAAACAATTAAGAAGATAATACCGACACTTATAGGAATAACCATCCTACTTTTTCACTTTCTCTAGATGAGAAATATTTTCATCATCATTCATAGAGGTGATGTCATCTTTATTAGGATTCTTCTCAGTTAACACATAAGAAACATTGAAAAGACTTAGTAGAAAAGTACTTTACCCTTCCATCTCTTAAAGTTGTTACCATTGAACCGAAATGGCTTGTTAAGGTCTCCCATCTTGACATCCGCGATTTTTTCAACTGTAGCCATGATTGAATCTCCTTAAAATTGTTAGTGAAAATTTACAAGATAACAAAAATTACAAGAGCACAACTAAAAAATAAAATGAAGAAATAAAATCTCTTCAGGCTGAGACGCGGATATCTTGCTCACTTTAAAGAGATTCAAGCTCACTGCAACAAATATTTTTATCGGTCTAGCAGTAATCCTCTTTGACTTGTTCCCTCTAGGATACAAAAACTTTTACAAAATATAACTCAACAACTCTAGACAAGAGTTGAGTCCAAAAATTCAATAAAAAGAACATCTCCTTTCAACTAATAAGAACTCTCTTTTTACTAACTCTTTCACTCTATACATTTATCTTGTGGCGTTGTGTGTCCCAAACCAAATGAAGATCATCACTATTTATTCTAAAAGAACTCTTTCTAGCAATAAATAGGAAGATAATGGTATAGTAAATAGTGAAGATAATGATCTTAGGAGTTACATATGTTACATAGATTACAAAGAATAATGAAGGAATAAAGAGTGAAATATTATGGAGAAATAATGATCCTAGTTGACCATTACATACCTTGCCAAGAAACCCAATGGACAGACAACCACTACAACTTCTCAAAGTAATGGCAATTTAAGTCAAATGATACTAAAGATGACATCAAGTGTCATCAAATGTCAAACGGTAGAATGCACCTAATAATGTGTAGTTAGGAAGACTACAAATTACATTTAGCAAATTATAATAATATTAAAAGAATAATAATATTAAAGTGCTACAACAGATTGGATCAAGGTGTTTATCCAATGGGTAATAACTTTTTATGATTGATATTTTCAACATCATGTTAAAGTTATTCATTCAAAGGAAGAAGTCAGCCAACAATCTCTTACGGAACTCTCAAAGAACGCAGCAAGGGACCTGGTCCTGGAAAGTCTGGGTACGAGAAAATGACAAAAAGATAGTTATCAAAAAGGTGTCAACTCTTATGTGGTTAGTGCACAACTTTTCATGACAGCAGGCTCAGGCTCTCAGCCAATAGTCTCGTCCCAAGGGTTTGTGTCTATTTGACTATAGTCTTTTCTCCAACAACACAAACAAAAGATTTGACAAACATAAACTTGGATTTTCTCTAAAAATTCATAAACTTAAAAAGAAGGTCATCTTCAAGGAAGAATAATACTCTCATTGAGCTGGGGCCTCAATCCTTCCTTCTTTTTGGGCTTTTAGAATCATGGTATGTGTGTATTCATCCTTGGAATACTTTCCTCGATGCGTTCCGTGAGAATTTCAATTTCCTATTGATCAACTTACGGTTTCAATTCAATAAATGTGGGTTTCATCCAATTATGAGTGATTGTTTTCTATTACGTATCCTAGTACATTATTTGATGTTTATCTATAGTATTTAGTTAAAATTGCATTCGATCATGCCTAAATTATGCTTTTGAACCATGATCTTAATTAACCCATGAACTATGAATTATGAATTTTAAATATATGCATGTTGTTATGAAATGGTTATCAACGATTTCAAAGGAAAGTATCAATATTATTACGAAAGAATTCCTCACTTACTATGATGTTCATAATAGTGAAAGATATTTCTCAAAATGAATTCACATTATTGAAAGATTTTCTCATCCATGTTAAATTATATTTAAAAAGTTATTTAATGTTTGATCTCAAAAACGTGGATTGGTATTGATCATTTGCTTTTTTATGTTAATATGATATTTGACTTTTATTTATTTCGTTGGAATTTAGACTTGGCAGCGAGAGACCTTGAGGTGGAGGTTCAAATAGGATAATCTCTAGTAGCAACCTCTAGTTCCAAACTATGTGCTCCCGTAGAATTATCTTAAATGATCTAGCTAGTGAATTCACTTTAGCGAATGATATGTACAGATTTTACCTTGGCAAGTAGATTCTCCTTCTTTCTGTATGAGGGATATACCGAATTCCATGATATAGCTATCATGGTCTTATTATCAGTTAAAAGCTTATATCTCATAAGATGGTTATGTTGTCTTTAAATCTTTTCTTATGTCCTTTTATGTTAATGTATTTGACCATGTCATCTCTTCGTCAAAGCTTTTGAATGTTTCAATATGATCATGCCTACTCATTTTAAGTCATGTATGTTATCATGCCTATATTTATGCATATTGCCTCATACTTAGTACATTTCGTGTACAAATGCATTTTTTGTCTATGATGTATGGGTTACGCCCCAATCATGTATTAAATGGCTTTGAGACTTGTGTTAAGACTTTTATTTTTGTCAAACTCTTTTGATGTATAAAATGTTATCTTTTAAAAGTCTGTATAATGCATGTTAATTAAGTGGCTTGTGTAGGGACTTTATACGTTATGTTATGCCTAGGGTTTACTTTGGATCGTGACAATGATAAAATTTAAAGTGTTTAATATGTAAAAAGAAAAAAAAGTTTTGGATGACTGATGCAGATTGTATCCATAGTAAAGGTGATGGACGAACATCCTGAAATACCACTAATCACATTACAAGAAAAAAATTGACAGAGATCTCAAATGTGATATAGAGTTGTGAAGCATATGAGTGCGTTAATGACTGAAAAAGAATTGAAGGTGAATATGTATGTACACTGCCTTATAGGTGAATATTGGTTACCACATACTGAAGTCATTACTTAGCCAAAGCTCATGAACATATACATTATCTATCGGAGGCCTGGCTATGGCTTAAGAAGCTATTGATACCTATATATCGTTCATAGGCTTTATGATACAGGAGTCGTTCCACAAATCCCTTGATCTGGCGAACCAATATTTAGCAGATGAGAAATTGAACGAACTCATGACAATAGAACAAGTACATGGTCATGGTTGGATTTTCAAGTTTAGAGAATTAGTAATGGAAAGGATCATGAAAAATAAAAATAAACTACAAGAATATAATAGTTGCGGACATCTATTATAATCTCAATAGTGTTTTTTTTAGTTAGGAAAGTTGTGAAATCCTAACTATCATGCTTTGAAATCGTAAACTTAATAAAATAAGAAAAAGGATTTACTAACCTACAACTAAGAATATTTATTTTAAGACCCAGCCATGAAGAAAACTATGTAACCCTAGTCGGGAAATGAGTGAGAAGGGGTAAAATCATTCCTAAGGAGAGTAATTAGGATTTAGTCGATTTGGCAGTGGAACTCTAGTGGAATGTAGTGTGGCATCCACACGACATTTAACAACTTCCTTTAATAAAAAATGTACTTTTGACCCAATAGTTTGACGGGAAGGGTATATTGAGCCGAAATATAATTTTCAAATGAATATGAGTTATTTCGGATAGTTTAAGGGATATTTTATCCTTTTTCGTTTAATTTATGTGACACTGAAATCCTATTGACGTTCCACATGGTATTTAATAACTACCTTTAATAAGGACACATTTGACCCAGTAATTTGATGAGATGGGGAATTTTGTGCAAAAGTATAGTTTAAAAAGTAAATATGATCTAATTCAAATAGTTCAAGGGTATTTTCTTTTCCATTTGGCTTTGGTTGTTCTTTATTTGCATTGTAGGCCAAACTTAAGGCCTATTATGCTGGACCTCGTTTTATGCATCTATATATTTGGCCATCGCTCGCCTTCATGGAAACGCAATGGATAGAGAGAAAATACCAAAATATGAAGTTCGACTCATATCCGATTGTGAAAAGCCTTGATAAAATGTGGGAGTTATTCTACCTAATGTAGATGAGAGGTGAGAGCAGAAATTATTTATTTCTATAGTAATGAGCATCTACACTAATTAATTTAAAAACAGAAAGCTCATTATTAGCCCTTGTACATGTCATGTAGATGAAATTTTATGGACAAGTTATGCTCTCACATTCCTATTCGTAATTATTTTGAATAATTCAAACAGAAAAAGAGAATAATTGATAGTTAAAATGTACTCTTGGCCATTATCTCAAAGTTAAAAATAAAAAAGATAGGTGTATGAATTAGAGTAATTATAATCTACATTCAAATTCTCACTTCACAGGATCCGAGTACTGGGTATGTTTGGTATTAAAAAGGTATTTTCTTGACGAACAAGTAAATTATAACCTATTTTCTGCTGTTCAATAAGCAAAAGATTTTATCCCAAAAACATTCGTGTATTCTAGAAAGCCATTATGGGGTTAGGATAGAGTGGGGAGAGGATGTTAGGGGCAGGGGGATAAGCATTGGGTGGCTGGGTGGATAGAAGAGAATGAGCTTGGAATATCACTATCACTAGTGAAACTCATTTTCCCTTCCAACTATTAGAAAAATCATTTTCCTAATTTTTAAAATAACTTATTTTTCTAGAAACCAAATATTTAGACAACAAAAACATGAGAGGAAAATATAGACTCAGAAGATTTCATAAACCCAGTTTACCCTAATAAATATAGCTGAGTAGCATCAAGAAGGCTACCATTCCATTCTAAATTCCCACATAGAAAAAGTACTTCAGTCGCAACAAATTTACTATAGCCTTCACCCTGGCTCGCCCCCACCTCTAAAGGGGCTTACGCACAAGCAAATGCCTTCCCCTTCAAATTACAGCTGTGATTACAACTAATATGTAAATATCAATAGCAGCTAGTCAATAGTTGTAATTGAATGTTTTGCATTTCTCCTACTTGAATTTTGTCTCCATCTTCAGTATATCTCTTCCTAGTACTTCCATTTTGGCAATTCAGAACTTACTAGCCATTAGGAGCCCAAAGGTTACACAATCACAAGATAATCACGACAAGTAATAGCTTACCAAATCCATAAATGGGTTGAAGCTGCCAAAAAGAAATCACAAATACAGCTAGTTTGGAAAGGAAAAAAAAAAAGACTGGAGACGAGACCTATTTTAAATACACAAGGCTGCACCTAAGGTCTACTTCAACAAAGTTTTCCTCTCAAACTATGGTTCTTGAGGAACCTGTTTGCTCGTGATATAGAGAGCAGATTTTTAAGACTTGAGAACCTGAAAATAACAAATGGAATTCACTTCAGCTGTCACATCCTGAAAAAAGATGAATATGTGCACTCTTAAGTTAGACAACAGGCGTCATCAAGACTAGAGATTTGATTCAGGTAGAATCAGAGCCTAGATGATTATATATTAAAAGATGAACACATGTACGGAACATACTATTCAAACTAGCAGATGTCAAGAATAAGAAAAGCAATGTACAAGAGACCTACTAGACAAAAACCTACGGAAATTGTGTAAAACATGAAACCAGTGCCTAGGCTGATCTTTCTATTTTTTATTTTTGAAAAAAAATAACTAAATCTTTTTTCTTGTCTGAAGTAGGCAATCGATAAATAAGTACCTGATGCTTTGGAACAGGAAAACTCTAAACAGAGACCAAAATGACCAGTTCTCACATAGCTTCAGCTCTCTCTTGATATCTTCAGAGACCTTAGCTTGGATGATGACTTGAAAGAATGTATTAGAGGAACCTCTTCATCATCTTGTTTTTCTTCATCTGCCTCTTGGTCAGATCCACTGATTGATTCCTCGTCTTCACTAGAATTGTGCTCGTCAAAAAGTTTCTTTCCTTGTATGTTCTGCTTCTTGGTAGGACGACCTCGACGTCTCCCAGCTCCTTCCTTATCATCTATAAAAGAACTCACATTAGCAGTCAGTGCAAACAGATCCTATGATTGCACAAACCATAAGTGATGTGTTACTATGACATTAGCTAGCTCAAAGGAGGAGGATAGTCCAAGTCTTATAAGGGGTCCGTCCACCCATCACATTAACCACCAATGTCAGACTTCTGTCATTCTTTAACAAGAAATAACATAGAAACTGTTATGCAATAAATAATAATACATGAAATGTTATGTAAGGATTATTTACTTAAAAGGCATCTATAATACCAATACACGTATCCTAATTCCACATTATCTTGCATAAAACAATACATATACTCCCATAACTTAATGCTATATTTTTAGTACCGCAAATCAAATGCAATATGAAATTACGCATAGATCATATTTATCCCAGCTACATTAGTTATACGGGAATTAATTTTTCTAGTCCTTCCAACCAAACGTTGTATTATTCTATGTGAAATTTACAAGCCATAGAAACATTCAATGATAATCTTATTGGTTTTGATCTATTGCTTTCACAAGGATAAGGATTAGGTGACCTTTTCTCTAGAAGATGAACGAAGCCCAATAGAAAATTCAAACAAATCACATTTACTTGTAAAGAACAACAACCAATTCATTCAGAACTAAAATAAATAAATTAAACCAGTTTCGAGATTAATCACAACCTTTGAAATTATTCATGACCCTTGATATGATTAGCTTTACCACCATGAAGGCAAACCAAAGTGTCATAAAATTGGTAAAAATGGGAAAAACGAATGAAGACACCCAGAATGATGACTTCTAAAGTTGATTTAGATTTTTCAAGCCTAGCTTGTGAACCATTGCTCAGCTCAATTATTCTCATTTACACACTCATACCCAAGTGACTACATTTTATTCTAAGGACATTCTAGAACTTGGTCGAACAGCAATGATATGATCTTATTAAACAATAGGTTTAAGATATTATTTTCTAAAGATCATGGAGAGAAATGACAATATCACCACCAAAATTAGGAATAAGCCAAATAACTTTTTGACGACATATGAATTAGAAGATACACTTACATTAGGCACAATCAGTGTAAATTACAAACTAGTTTAGTGTATTCAGGAATTCGTTGTTTGGCGTACAGAATCAGTGTGAGACAAAAAGAATTTCCTGTCATTATTATTTTGTCAGAAACCCTAATTTGTCCTAAAAGACAATTATTTAGTATTTGCATGAAACGTGTCAAAGTAGAGTGCAATGGATACAGAATTCATATTCGAGCCCTTTTTACTTTAGGATTGAGGCATTATTGTAGTTACTTAATGTGGCACACAACAGGATTGGCGTAATCACTTCACAGTTTCACTCCACTTGCCTTCACTGGCCATCCAAAGATGATAAGAAGTTAACAGCATGGCACCTACTTAATGGTCAAACCAACCCCTCTCTAAGATTTTGAAAACTCCTCACACAGTTTCAGACATTATAGCAAGTGCTTTGAAAGTGGACCCAAAACGAATACCACTGAAACCAGAGCTGTTTAGTAGGATTGAGAAACAAACAAGAATTAACTCACAAATTAAAGTGCACAGCATAAAAAGGGAGCAGCCTGGAGAAGACAAACTAGAAGGGAAAAAAAACAAATTCAGTAAACTAAAAGTATATGTGTACCTTGTAAAACATCACCCTTAGCATACTTCTCATGGACTGTATCTACAAATATATGGTAGGGTCGCCAACCGCTTGGATCTTCATCCGTGTTAACATTTTCAGTTCTTTTCTCGACGTCTTTCAAGCTGATCACGTAAGAGTTAAGTTGCTCATATGAGAGCTATGATATTTGCACATTAACAAGAAAATAGCATCCAAAGATCAAATTTTGACAAGACAGGGTTGTTTAGGCAGTTCTTTCAAGGACAACTTCAAAAACAATGAAAGAGAGCTTAAAATGATATACAATATACACCACTGACATGTCCAAAGGCAAGAAAACATTGTGTCCAATGAGAAAGCTATAGCTGGTCATTAGCAAGGTTTCATTGATTTCCTCGAGACACATTGAGAGTGGCAAAAGTATCAACCTCCCATTATTCTTGATTCAGACACTAGTAACAAACTAAGTCTGTATCCCAGAGTAAGCAGCAACTACAGCTAATTTTTCATCTTCTCAGAGCAGTAGGCTTGCATAGGTCAACATGGTACACCCCTAAACTTCATGAATGACATTGCTTCCAGTGTCTAACAGGCCAGGACAGTCGAAAGCGGGATGCAAACAGAATCTTCACAATAAACTCATTATATCAATGATTATTTGAGAGGAATCTTTTGCCTATTCCATGGTATTGGTTCCTAGAGGCACCTAAAAAGGTTTACTTATTCCTTGACCATTCTCACAGTGAGAAATCTGTGGAAATGGAAGATAGGTCACATCTACTGGTGATAAGATTAGAACCAGTTGTGATCTTATTGTTATATCACACACTGATTGTGAAACAAAGTGTGGAATATGTTTGGCACCAGACGGGTGACACCGGCAACTCTCAAGGACGTGTTCTAAGTTGGCAATTCAAGAGGAAAAGGAGTAGAGAGTGAAAATGTCTCTTCTGGCACTTCAGCGGCTAATAAGGAAGGAAAAAGAAACATGCTTAACCACTTCAGAAGTTACCAATCAGGAAAAAGGCTGAAGTTAAAACTTTATGTGCATATCAGAAGTTAACAATAAAAATATCTGATGTGAATATCAATGATCATTTATACGTTTGTAAGTTTTTGGAGCAGATATCTGATCCCAGTTGGCAATGAATATTGCGTAATTTTTGTAGAGAATCACATTCTTATCATGAACCTCTACTTCCACATACTGCTTGTGAAATGGTACACTTCCCCTATCACATCAACAAATAACTTCAATAGAAATAACTTCATATTTTCAAAACCAAATAAAGAACAAAGAGAAGTTTCTGCAATGGAAATCTGCCACAATCACGACAGCCCAAGCCCCAAAACCCCACCAGGATATCCCAAATCTCAGGCATATATCTAACCAAGCCACATCTAAATCCAACCCTGTAACCAAGCAGATCACACAGTCTCCAAGCTTCTACAATATCCAAAACCCAAGGAACATGAGAAGATAATCTGCTGTTACCTCAAGTTAATCCAAACCAGGACTAATGCACAATTTCATTAAACGCCCTAGATAGATCATCTAACAGGATTGGAGTCAGAATGTTAGCCTTTCATTATGTGATTAAAAAGGAAAATTACATTTAGTGAGCTCTTACATGTTCATAATATCTGAAGGAGGAAGTTTAGATATGAAATGCAGCACAGCACCATCCAAGAAAGATAAATGCTTTGGAGCATCAGTAAAGGCATATTGAATGCCTCCTGTGACAATATTTAGAAGATCTGACCGGTGCTTGTTTCTAGCAGCATTTCCAAATGTCTTGGCAAGCCCACTGGCGAGATCTTCACATTCATGAAAAGTCTTTCTCGCTGATTCGTCATCATCAGAGAAAAGTGCTACTAAGTACCGTTCATGGGCCTGCGAAACCAGAACCAAACATGCTCAACTACTCCACAAAGAAAAGAGACTACACTTTCTTCCAATACAACCTTGATTTTTTTTAGAATGACACTCTTTGTTTGGAAAGGAAGTACCTTGATGCCTTTCTGAATCTAACATGTATACTTTCTTTCCAAACAAGAATTAACATGTATATTTTCTTTCCCGATTAACTTTTTTTACTTTTTTTTAAAAAAACTGGTAAATTTGTATTTGTATCAATACTTACTTAAGTACCTTAAGAACCATATTTATAATAAAAGAAAGTACACACTTTCCAAGCGCTAAACCTAACTCTAGCTGGACCCTAAAACATCTAGAATTGACTCAGTCTCTTTAGAATAAACATTTGTTATTGACTCAGTCTCATTAGAATAAACATTTGTACGCCAAAAGCAGAACAAAATACATGTAAGTTTACTATACAGATGCATAATTTAATCCAGTTGCTCCACTTCTCCCCAAAGCATATTTGTCTCAACATACTAAGAATGAGCTCCCAATTGACATGTCATAGCCTTTCTCACTATCAAGTTTGCAAACGATGCCAGGTTTTTTTAGTCAGATTTTGAAATCAATTGCTTCATTAGCTATCAGTACCGCATCCTTTATATGTCTGCCTTTAATGAATGTCATTCGTTGTTTGTCCACCGGCCTCTTCGATCTGTCAGGACATTAGAGATCAACTTGTAAAAGTTTTCAATCAGACTGATAGATCTAAAAATCTTTGAGCTCCTTTGCCCACGTCTTCTTAGGATAAGAATCAGGGCAATAGATGTCGCATTGAAACTTTTTTCAAACATAGAATTTGAATGGAAATTATGAAATATGTCTGTCTTTATAACCTCCCAGCAATTTAGACAGAAACCCATTGTATGCTCATCAGTGCCAGGGGCTTTGTCCATTAGCACATCTAGTGAGTAGTTTGTTCTTCTGAAACTTCAAATTCCCCTGCTCATTCCTGCTCCACTCTTTCAGACTCCACCGTTTCCCGACATTGTCAACAAAACATTCTTGAGTTTAACCACCAAATTTGAAATTTGAAACGACTTGGATTGTTCCCAGTGTCCACAGAACAGAGCAATTGGGACATGATCTGTAACCATTCTCTGTAGAGTACATTGCTATAGATCACTGAATTGGCTATTCCATTCTGTGGACACCAGTATCGTGTCTACTCTAGTAGTATGGTTGTATCCTATAAACCAAGTGTAATTTCCACATCAAGCTGCAAATCAACTAGCTCCATGCCATCCATACAATCTGAAAATTCCCCCATAGATGAAGTTCTCTTAATGCAGTCCCTTTTTCATATGGAATCTACATATCTACATATATATATATATATATATATATATATATATTCACCAAATTCACCACAGATAGGCTATGGCCACTCATCAGACTTTTGATGTTAGCTAATTCCTCTCATACCAGTCTCCTTCCAATATTCTGTTAGAAGCATACACATCAGTGATATGGCATTCAAAATCTTTTAATTGGGCCTTGAAGTTATACTGTTATAGGATAGAGTATACGCTTCAACCTATAAGATTTCCTCTATCCATACTCTTGCACCCATAAGAGAAGAATTCCTGCCACTAGCTTCCAGAAATGCATATCTGATCCATCTCCCTGCCCATATCTGGTTAATTATATCCTGCACATTCACTTCTAACTTTGTTTCTTGGAGGCAGACCGTCTGTTTTCCAATCTTGAATCAGACTCTGCACCAAACCATTGAGCTCCCTAACTTTCCAAACATCTAGTCTAGTTTGAGTAAATTTTGTTGAACCCACATTGTTGTGTTCATCCACATTGTTGAACCCGCATTGTTGTGTTTATTCCCTTATCAAGTAGAGATTCTTGTTGCTAAATGAAGGAGGTTCAACCTCCTACATGTCCCAGATTTCCCCAGTATTTGTCATCTCCAGCTGCGATTGTTGATTTCGAGAGATATCTAGAATTATCTCCCCCTGCTCTTCACTTACAGATTCTTCTGGGTTTGCATACAAAGAAGTCCAGCTATATTTTCCCCCTTCTCTTTTTCAATTCACAGTTGATATCCGCTGATTGCCAGATTATCCAGTGTTGTGTTCTCCTGTTGCATGCACTGATCAGAGAAATAAACTGCCTACGTTTCTTCTAGAATTGCTTCGTGGAAATAATCATCAGCAGTCTGGGGTTTATGTTGTTAAATATGACTTGTGCCTGATCAGGCACAAAATACGTAAGGTCCAAAAAACCATCTTTAAATCCAGCACATGTCCTGCATATGTTCCCCAGCCTTTTAAAAATTGTTACAGTTGTACCCACATGGGTCTCCCCAAAATCTGTCATCCCTACATCCTCGAAGGATCTATTACCAGCTAGGTTCTTTGTTGTTCCAGTTCTTCTCCGATGACTTCTCTACGGCTCGTCGGAATTAGGTTGAATCGAGTTTTCCTCAGTCCGGATGAGGATGAAGAAGTCAACTCATCTCTAGAGATGGTTACTTCGTTTGGGAAATACCGACCATCACCTCGTACTACGATTCTAGCCCACTTGAAATGGTTTCTTATCTCTGCTTCCTTCTCCGTTGTTTTCCAACCACCACATAAATCTCCGATCTCATGGAAAGTCTCATTTGAATATAGGTGCAGAGACAGACCCATTGCCCTAATTCATTTGGTTTTGGGCTTACACGAGGCTGGCACGCATCCAAGAAGGATTCCACAATTCTAGTTTAACTTTGTTTTTTTTCCAAATCCATTCTCCCTGGAGAATTTGCTCTCCCATGTTTCTGTTTGGGGACTCAAATAGAAAACAGACACCCATCTCATAAATATTAACCCCAAAAACCTTCTTCCAAACTGTTGATGATTCAAACATTTGATAAAGAGGGGATCAGACTTTGTCATGTCGAAGGACCGAAAGATGCATCTTCCAAGTAGACCTTGTCCTCCATTTTTGACAGCAGCAGTGGCTTTAACCACTTCACCCTTGTTTGTGGTTACCACAGGGCTGGTATTGGTTGCTATTTACTATCCTCAATGACTTCTGCATAAACAACATTGATGTTGTATGACACGAAGGAAGCCTTAGCAGACATCTAAGGGGAGCATTTAATGAAATTCTCCATCTTTAATGCTACACTTCTCCATACTGCACTAATGCCTGTTTCTAGAATAATGATACGTTGATAACTGATCTGGCCTCTCCCTTCAATGATAAGATACACATACACCTCCCATGAGAGTTGTGTTTCCTGGTACCAAAATATTCTGCGACCTGGTGTTTGTCTCCATCCACTCACCAGATTTTTCTGATCAGATGATGCTTCTTTGAGAATAAAGCATATCCAATCAAAGCTCTTCTCATTGAGCAGGACCCCCGACATCATATTCTGTTTCTCTCTACCCAGTCGTACCATGAAACATTAGATTTGACCTATAACCAATAAACAGCCGGGACTGAGTGTTTATCTCAAGTGGGCTATAATCAACGTACAATCATATGCAGCTTTCATGGCAAAATAGCAAACAAGGATATGCATCTTTGTTATAAGCATGGCATTTGTCCATCCTAGCTCCTTAAATTATTACAACCAACTCACACACCCCATGAACATGAATAATATACACCGACAGTATTTCAACAGCAAGCCTTGGAGCAATGCTAAAATTCTGTCCGTGTGACTGACCTATACGTCACGGGTTCAAGCAGCGGAACCAGTCACTGATGCTTGAGTCAGGGTAGGCTGCTTACATACATACACACACACACACACCTGAGTGTGGCTCTTCCCCTGACCCAGTGTGAATGGGGATGCTTCATGCACCGGGCTCCCCTTTTTTATACACTCAGTCAACCAAACATTTTAACCATATCATTATCAAATTTTGAAGTAAGACTTCTCTTCTGCAATTTCATCAAAAAGCTCACCAGAAACTGGAAGGCCAACCTGCCAAGTGACAAAAATAGAGCAGGAATCATCTCAGTTAACAAGTAGTGATGCTCACCCTTTTTAGTGCCTCTATGAACAACCATGCAACATCTGCACCATTATTCCTTAACACGGTTAGCAAATGCTTAATAACCGCAGATACACTTGTCCCATGCATTGAAAGATGAGATAGTATCTCTGGAGCAAGATATTCCTGTAGATATTACAGTGATGAAATATGTTAGCACCTGAAAAAGATAATCAACGGTATGCCTCCTAATCTTTGCTTTCTAAATGATACTGCAGTAATACAAAAAAAAGCATTGCCAAAATCCACATAAGAAGTACAGCTAGGAATTAAGTATAGAAAAGTACAACTACGAAAAGAGAATACACCTAACCTTAGGAACTGCATCAACAGCAACCAACTTGCCAACAGCAATGATTACAGCATCTCGATTTGTCTCCTCAATGTATTCCCTATTAGAATCTTCTTCTTCAGCCTCATCTGTATCCATGTTAGAAGATGAATGAAAGTCTCAAGAGACATCCCTCGTCCAGAAAGAAGCCCTTTCTGGGATTGAATGTTATGGACTGATATATGATGTTCTGGAAGCTTAATACACTTTTTTGGTCAAGTTAAAAAGACTTATTCTTTCATTGACACCTGGGTGGACCATGGAGATCTATTTTCCACGACTCAACAGGACTAGGGGCTCAAGTTTTTGCAGTATCTTTTTTTTTTAACTTTATATTAATAAATTTTTAACGTGCATCTTGACTCTTCATGACATAAGTGCTTATATTACAAAATAGGGAAGTGAAACAGTTCTTTTCCTCCTGTATTTGGTTATGGCGGGAGCAGATATACACTTTAGTTTCTTAATAATCTTTCCAACAGAAAGTAAAGTAAAATCCTTACCTAAGAAGTAATGCTAGGAAAAAGATGCACAAAATGGTTTCCTTTTGAAAATCAAGCTTCACAACAAGAACATAACAAAAATAAAAACCAATGTGCAACAACACATTCCTTCGATTAAGATATAGCATATGAGGAAACAAATGAATTCAATAGAAGTACACATTTCGCATTCAAATTCATGTGACTGCTCAAGAACCAAAGTGTTTTCACAGTAACCATGACAATGATGATAAGTTTACATCAAGCACACTATCTAAAAGTGCTATAATAAGAAGCATGATGCTAAAAGTAATTATTCTAGATGCAGGCTTCTCTATAGTTGAAGATAAATAATAGTGTTAGAGCCATATTATTATTCCTCTATACAACTGTAAGATGTGAGCTAGAGCTGCCACACATTTAGAGAAAACAGTGAATGGAAAGCAAAAACCACCTGAAATATGTAGTTGGCGTTCACAAAGCTTCCAGAACTTTTGAAGAATGGCTTCATCTGGAGAGTACCCTAAAGCTTCTATTTCCGTGGATGCAAAGGTTGCTTTCTTGAACAGACACCACTGTTCTGAAAAAATAACACAAACCTAGACCAAGAAAAACAACAAACTCAATTAACCAAACAAGAACATAGATGGCACTAACAGGAGATAGGTGAACATAGATGTTTGGAAATTACACATGGTCGGATGTAGATATTTAAAAATAATGCTTACCCTACATGCAAGTTGACTTGCACGAAGACCTTCCGGAGAATTAGTAGTCAGGAAGGACTCAAGTAGTTCAAACAAGGCACTGCGTTTTGAAATTAAGGAAGATATAGATTGTTCCAGGACTGTGCCAGAGTTGATGATAGAGTGTAGGCACCAGCAAACATGCAGATGCATGTTAAGAAGCAGAAATCCAATTACCTGAACAGTAAGCCAAAGCAGTTGTGTATTGTCAAGACTACAAAAAAGTATTATTCAAACTACAGTATACCCACCTCGTCATCAATACTTCTGAAGTTCTTCAGAGTCTCTGCAAGATCTTTATACAAGCTTTCAGTGGAAATTTGCCTTGACAATTGAAGTTCATACAACCTTTTCAAGTTAACAAGCATTGTATATTCATCATCACCATCCTGCAACAAAAATTGCACATTTTAAACAAAATGCATCAATGGAACACATAGTCCACTTCAATTTGTCAAGGGCGCATACAGCAACTTCTTTTATTGCAGATTTAAGTTTCATAATGAGCTCATCTTCAATCCCCTTCAATTTGTTAAGGGCGAAGTCCTGTAACTCCCCACGACTCTCAGTAGCACAGAAGTTCAGAGCTTTTACACAAGATCTCAGAGCTTCCTTCTCACCATGCTTGAAAAATGCTTCTTTCATCAGAAGTACCGCAGATTTAAAATTCTTAAAAAGCAAAAGAAAACAGCTGTTAGTAACCAGTTCAAAAAAAAATACTTCATATAGGCAATCCCCTATATAGTTCATGATTGTAATAAACTCCACAAACGAACCTGATCTTGTCGTTTAAGAGAATAGAGCTCAAGGTTCATATGAACAATGATTTCAAGTAGATAGGGAATTTTTGCTTTGTCAGATATAAATTTGCGAAGAAGCTGCGGATAATTCCTCATCATAGCAATGGTTATATCACGCTTAGAACTTTCAAACATGTCCTGCCAATTACAATATAAGCATTGATAGAATTCAGTATCCCATAGTAGTATGGCTGAACAACACCAATATAATTTGTCATAGACAAAGAACACTAAGAAGGAACCTATCTAAAATAATCTAAATAAATTTTGAACTTGAGGTGAAACTCTATGACTGCAAAAAATCAAAACCACAGCATCTAGATACTCATTCTGTGTACGGCTTGGAATGATGTCCCTACTGAGCATTGAGCAAACAGAGTTACCGTTTATGTTCCATGGTACATGAAAATAATATGACTGCTCACTATATTATCAAACTCCAAGTATAATAAAATGTCTTAATGATGTTAGAAAAATGTTAAAGATGGTAACATGATAATATACAAAAACGGCACCTCTTCCACTGACTAATACTAGCAAGTAATCTGGATGTATTTGACCACCTAACCTCATTTAAGACAAGCATACAGTTCAAAGAACTGCTAACAGTACAGATCTACCGGGTTGCAGAAATATCACCAACTTATTGTTTACTTTCTTGGAATCCATTCTCAGGTGTAAATGGTGAAGTTTGAAGCACAAACATAACATTTCTTAAGAGTCTTAGACTGTATCAACAAGAACTAAAGAACCTCACCTTTTGTGCTTTAGTATAATATTGTTTTTTATTATCACTGGCAGGAACAATCTTCTCTCCAACTGCCTTCCTAATGGACGCAAAAAGCAGACGAATTAGGTTTGTTGCGTCTGCATCACTCAGTTCAGCTGATAGCTCTTCTTCCAAGAGCATAGACAGGATACGTTTCCAATCCTGCAAGGACATAATTCTCAAGTGAATATTTTTTTCAACCAGAGAACACACTCAGGTATCCAGGATAAGGAGACCCTTCTTAAGTTTTCCTATGATAAAATAGGATTATAGCTGTCAAATCAATATAAATAGAAAATGCCTATAAAGCCAAGTTGTAGAAATACTAGTCTAACCAAACTACAGATAATTGTATTACAGCATTAATACTAAAAACCATAGGGAGATTCTGAACAAATTCAGAAATTATACAGTAACTTATAACGTCTTTAAAACAAAGTTGAGCCACTAGAAGACTAGGCTCACTGAAAATTGTAGGGAGATATTCTAACCAAACTACAGATATCATATGGTCATAGAAATTTCATCTTTAAATTAAAAGGTAGTGTACATAACGTACTTTCATGGCGTCCATATACTCCCAGATATCATCAATGACATACATACTCAGCATTTCGTCTTTTGAAAACTCTCCCAATATGCGCAACAGTCTGTTAAGATGAACCTCAGAAGAATCAGCATTATCCCCTGGAAATTTTTTGTTATCAGTACACTTGTTCAATCAATCAAGCCAATAGAAAGCACAGGATGCAGAATAATGTTATAAAAACCTGAACTAGATTGTGAACTGTTCAATCGCTGGGCAATCAGATTATCATACACTAGAGCTCCAATGGCACGCCTGATTTCAGGTGGATCATCAATTAGCAAATCATATAAAGAACTTAATTCCTCCTCAGGAACACGTTGATGTCTGCAATCAAAAGAAAAAAAAATATATGTCAGCAAAATATCAATAACTTAATAAAAGAGCGCATTTCAACAATCTGCTGGTAACAATATTAAAGAAACAAGAGGCCTGCATTGTCAAGAAATTACCTTATCAGTTGTTTCACAAGTCCTATAGCACATACTGCCACAGAAATATCAACATCATCAGCAAGCTCGATCATCCTTTTATAAAATCTCTCCGTGAAAAGGCCAAGAGATGGTACATTATCATCCACCTCATAAAGATTCTGCAGTGCAAGAACTGATGCCTTCCTTACACCATCACTCTTAAGAGGGTAAAATTAAGAGCCAAATGCATCGTTAGAATTTTCAATTTAACAACTGAAGATTGAAGATAAAATCAAATTGAATCCACTTACTTTATCATTCAATGTCCATCCGAGATATTTCAAATACAAATCCTGCAAAAACAGAGAGGGGTATGACAGGATCCAGACACCCAATGACTGTATGCATGCCATTCTGATATCAGGTTCGACATCTCGATAACGGTGCATAAATAGCCTACAAATTTCAGCATACAAAAAGGCAAAAAAAAATTAAAAATGCTCCTCAAGTAATAAAAAATATGTATCATTAACATAAGGTGCATACCCAGTAAATATCTTCCGCATCATCTCCTCTATTATTGTTATCTTTTCATGGGTCATGGATAATCTTTTATTTAGTGATTCAACTCGAGGCCCATCCACTTTCTTCTTCTGTTCAGCATTTAGCTGTCTCTGTGTGGTTTCCCGCTGTGAACCAAGTACTTTGGCAATGTGTATAAAGGATGTAACAAGTTGAAGCCCCATTAATGAAGCAACCTGACGATATACTCTAGGAGGAGTGCTGAAATGCATGTTGACAAGACAATGAGCCAAAATTACCTCAAACTTAGAATACCGACATACAAGCAACTTACCATGATAGCGCAATCACATAATCCATGCACTTGTCAAACAAGACCCTATCAAAAAGTGGTCCATTTTCACATTCAGCAACCAGGGTATCCCAGAAGTAGACGAGATTATCTTTGAAGTTCTTGAAGTCCTTCTTCTTTGAAGTTTGATAATCCTCAACTTCACCCTAACATCCAAAGGAGATTAGGTAAAATTAGAATTGCACGTCTATGCATGAAGTTCCTGTTTAATGCATATCGAAATGACGTCAAATAATAACACCAACCAGAAAGTTCATGCGTAAGGCATATTGAACTGACGCCAAATAACATATTGCAACAACAACATACACAGTGACGCCAAATAACATATTAAATAAGGAAATGTCATCAATATAATGAATGAATATACCCTCTTAGCCATGTTTACAAGAGCAACTACAACATCATCAACATCAGTTTGGTCCAAGAAATCTTCTTCAATATGATATTTTGCTCCACATGCCTGTAAAACCACAAATTTCCACCTATCATGCCACACCATCAAAATGAAACCTATCTATGGCTGATATGTGGAGATGGGAAAAACATAATATGCAAGCAAAAGAAACACCCACATATTATCAAATTACCTCAAACATCATGCTCAATAGTCCAGCCATTGCAGCTTTCGGATCCTTTTCATAATGTTCCACCCAATGCTTGACCACTAGAGGAATTCGTCTCCTATCACCTTTAACAACATCTGCAAATGAAGGAATTTGTCTACCATCACCACAATAGATATACACAAAAAGGATTCAACAGAGAGAAACTAAAATCTAATTAGAATCAGGTAACGAGGAATTGAAGCAAGCAAGCTCAAGAAAACAAACCGACTAGTATAGCTTCTGATGGTTTTATTCCTTGAATAGGAAGTGACCTTTTAATGGACTTGTAAGGCATAGCTGAAGTGAATTTTTAAAGAGTAATGAGTATTTCTTATGGAACAATCACAGAAGGCCTTTGATTGTGGCTATGTATTAGAAATTCAAAATCCAACGGTAATTGAAACTTCCAGGTGGACCAAAACAGGGATGGTCAAGGCATGCAAGGCTTTTGAGGTAATATAACGGGATTTGAGCATGAAATCCTGGACATGATCTTGTGCATGGAACATAAGAGGCAGCTACAATTGAATAAACAAAAATCTGAAGGACGTTCAGCAAAAAAGTCACAGAGAAAAGGTGAAATCGAGCTAGAAAGGCTAAATGTGGTTTAAATTATGATGGCATGGCAAAGGAGGATAGGAGCAGGCTTCACGAAGCTCTTTCTAAATGAAATTAAAAATTATCAGTTGGAACATGCGGGGGGCTGAATGAAGCAGCTAAAAGAAGTTCAGTGAAATCTTTAATGGGTAAATGGAAAAGCAGACATAATTTGCCTGCAGGAGACAAAAATACTAGACTGGTCGTCACAAATAATTCAACAAATGTGGGGCAATAGATAAGCTGGCTGGACTGAGCTCAAACAAGTGGTAGCAGAGGTGGATAGTAATTCTTTGGGATAAAATGTTGTGGGATTGCATTGATACACAACAAAGTTCATACACTCTCTTGTGTATGTTAGAAAGTTCTCAAGAAGAAATATGATGTGTTTCAAAAGTTCTTCTGGCCCTCATTCTAATCCAGAAAAGAAGAACTGTGGCTTGAACTTGCCGTTATTAGAGGTATCTGGAACCAGTGGTAGGGTCATCGGTGGTGATCTCAATGTATGCAGATTTCGAAGTGAAAGATATAAACTGCATCCGAAAATCAAAAGTCATCAAAAGCTTCTCAGACACCATTAAAATCTGAACTCAATCAACCTCCCTTTACAGGATGCTTTCTATACTTGGTCCCGAGGAGAATATTCTATTCAAGCCTCTAGAATAGACAGGTTTTTGACATCACATGAATGGAGCGACACCTTTAAAGATGTAAAACAAATTGCTCTTCTGAAAGTTATGTCAGACTATAGACCTGTACTTTAGGAAAATGATGACTGGAAGACAATCCTTCCTATTTTTAATTTGAAAACATGTGGTTGCAAGAGGAGGGTTTAACGAATGGTGGAAGAACTACTCTATCAAGGGTAGTCCAGATTTTATTTTCTCTCAGAAATTGAGGTGTCTTGAAAAATACATCACTGACTGGAACAGAAATCTTGGCAAGATGCAAACCAGAAATAGCAAAGCACTGGATGACCTTATGGTTATTAAGCAGGCAATCGAAAAAAGGCTCCCATCCCAAGCAGAAAAAGACAAGATCCTAAAAATGGAACTACAACAGACTGCTAAGGCTGAAGAAGTATCATGGAGGCAAAAATCCAAGTGTTTATGGCCTAAGGAGGGTGATAGGAACACCAAATATTTTCAAAGGATTGCAAATTCCCGCAGGAGAAACAATCAGATTGATATACTGATACCAATGATACATAATGAAACAGTAAGTAACAACCTCCAAACAAAGTGTTCAGTACAAAAAATGTTCCCCAAAAATTCCACAAAAGTAGATATAAAGACAAAATAAGAATCCTACAGCATTTTCTTCACCAACAGGATGCCCATAATGATGAGTGTTTCACATTTGTCCAAAAATTAGTGGACGAGATTGGCATTTCATTCAATGGGTGGAAACAAAATGCAATAACGAATCAAATTCTACCACTTGCTATTGTAACTTACAGAATTTACAGACAATGAAAGGACCATTTTCAAGCAAGCAAATTGAAAGCTTTTACACTCTCAAAGTCATCAATTCAATATTAACCTAAAATTACCATAATTAAAATTATAATACAGTAGCCAAACTTAAAGATATAACTTGATTCACGCTTTCGACTATAATTGGGTAGCACACCCTAAAAATTCCATAGATTCTTGAATTACCAAAATTGAACTGAAATGTCATAGCGGAAAATTGCATAACATAGTAACTAAATGATCACAGCCTCCATTCACACTTTCTATCTATTGAGAAGCGATAGACTAAAACTTCTCTAGTAAATATCAGACTCAACCTGAAATCGCTGTAACCTCCATTCACACTTTCTATATATTGAGTAGCGACAGACTAAAACTTCTCTAGTAACATTCAGAATTAATCTGAAATCCCTGTAAACTCCATTCATGCTTTCTATATATTGAGTAGTTATAGACTAAGGACCCGTTTGGCCATAGATTCATAAATATAATTTGGGGAAAAAACTGGCAAATAGTGCTTGTCCATACAATTTGCCATTATTTGGCTAATACAGTGTTTTGGGAAGCGAGAAGCGGAAAAAAGCGACGAGGGCTTGCTTCACATAAGCGAGAAGAGTGAAGCGAAGCGCGCGCTTTTTTTAAAAAAGCGACATTTAATGTAAAAATAAAAAAATATTAAATAACTAAATAGAGGTAATAGTCTTAGATTGAAAGAAATTACATAGGCATAAATACTCATAAGTCATAACATATAAAGCAAAAAATCAAAAACATAATTAAATCACAAAGATTCAAACTCCTATTCTTCAACAAGGCTGCTAGACTGATCTCAAAATAATAATTAAAAAAAAAGCAAAAGAATTTGAAAAAAAAAAAAGAGGAGGCAGCAGTCAGTAATTAGAAACAGAGCAGGCAGCAGAGATGAAGAAAAGAAGAGAAGAAAAAGAAAAAACTAGAGTAGTCGAAACTCAGAGAGATGAAGAGATGAAGCACAGGCGAAGATTGTATATTTCAGGAGAAAAGAAACTCATAGAGATGAATTAATAAACATTAGCTAAAAAAGAGATGAACAAAAAGTTACCTGCAACCGCGGTCGAGGTTGAAGAGAGAGGCAGCCTCAGTCGAGATCGTCAGGAGAGAAAGAAGGGAAAGAGTCGTGAAAGAAGAGTCGTGAGGAGAGAGAAGTTTATATTTCAGATTATTTTTTTTAAAAAAAAAGACCTAATTATTTTTAATAAAAACTCTAATTGTCGCTTTTTTTATAAAAAGCGCGCTTTATTGCGCTTTTGCCTTAGGGTCGCTTCTCGCTTCTTCATCTGAAGCGAGAGCTTTTTTTAGATCGCCTCGCCTCAAGATAAAAAAAGCGCACAAAGGTCGCCTCGCTTTGAAGCGCGCTTTTCACAACACTGGGCTAATATTTTTGGCAAATAACCCAAATTCCCAAATACTAGAAAAAACTAGTATTTGGGCCAAGTCTCATTATTTGGGAACTTTTAATAATTCAAATTCTACACCAAACTTTTATCTTTTACAAGAACTCCCACTATAATAGTTGTTTGCGTTGTTTTACTAATGTTTTACGTAAACATCAAAGTAGTGATGGAATATTCAGTGAATATGAAAGTGATAATATGGTTATTCATGAAAATGATGAACAATCGGCTTAGGTAACAAAGTCATGTGTCATGTAATTTACAAACCTATAGTTAGTTTTGATGGTTTATAAAATTTATGGGTATATCTCATATTTCTTAAAAAGGTTAAATATATTTCCCAAATACTATGACAAAACACATGCTGAAATTTCACCCAAATTTTCGCTCAAATAATATTTCCCAAAAAAACTTGGAAATCTATGGCCAAATGCTAGCTAAAACTTCTCTAGTAACTTCCAGAATTAACCTGAAATTACTGTAATGAAAGCAACACAACACTAATGATCTAAAGGATAATTTCATGTCTGCTTTCAACATAATTGACTAGTGTAAGCCCAAAATTTCTCTCGTTTGAATCTTCAAAACATACCTGAAATTAAAAGAACAATACATAACACTACGATAACTAGGCCACAACTTCCATATTTGCACTTTCAACATCATCTGATAGCACAAGCCTAACAATGCTTGTCTCAAAATTCAAAAATTAGTCTGCTAGTACCATAGCAATACAAAGCATAATTTCCATCCGTGGTTTCAACAATAATTGAAGAAGACAAGCCTTAAATTTCTATATAATCTCAAACTGCAACAATTAAAACTACAGAACATTAGTCCAACTAGAAGACCACAACTTCCATTCCTCCATTCAACATGATAAAATTTCAGAATGACATGCAAACTAGAAGGCCATAATTTCCACTGTGCTACCAACAATCGAGAAGCAAAGCCTAAAAATCTATAGATTCTCAAATTCAAATTAAACATCAAAACTATTGTAACAAAACAGCAGACAAAATTTATAATACCAATTAAACTCTGATGAGCATTTCTAGCAGCAGCAGCAGATGAAGTGCCTCCTAAAGCCTTACTCCGCTTAGGTCTAGCACGAAAGTCTTCAAAGTCCTCAGACGATTCTTCCCTCTCTTCCTCATTCACACTGCTGTGTAATTGCTCTTCGTTAATCCTAGTTTGAGCTCTCGTTCGTTTCTGTAAACAATTAACTCAATAATTACGTCTCAACTATTAACTTAATCAGTTGAATACTGCTGAAACTAAAAAAACCGAACTCACCGTACGACGATTCGCTGTTTCCGATACCACTGGTTCCTCCTCCATGAATTGATGTTGTTGTAAACCCTAGAAATTGAAGCAAAGAAGAGAGAACTATGCAGAAGAAGGAGACGGTGAGAAAATGAAGAGAATTGTGGGATCGTATTGCGTATACTACCTACACTTGGAGTTGCAATTTTTGTGAGATTGAAACGATGCTTACGCCTTATATGCCATGTTAACTCAATTAGCTTTTAAAATAATGGTGTGTTTGGTATGGAGGAAAATGTTTTTTCTAGTAAATTTTTTTCTGGAAAATAAGTTGATTTTAGATTTATTTTTTCATGTTTAGTTGGTGAGTAGAAAATATTTTTTGGAAATTATTATTAGTGTTTGATTTATGAATGAAAAATATTTTTGAGAAACATCTTGTTATTTTTATTAGAGTAAAATAACTTATGAAATTGAAAATATTTTTTTAAAGTAAAATTATTATTTTTTTAGGTGGTGGTGGTGGTGGGATGGGGTGGGGTAGTGGGTGGGGAAGGGGTATGAGTGAAAAAACAAAAATTTAAAATTGAAAGTATTTTTAAAAAAATAAAATAAATTTTTTGAGGAGGGGGGACAGACAAGGGGGAATAGGAGTTTAACAAATAAAAATTTTAAGTTGAAAATATTTTAATAAAGCAAAATTAAATTTTATGAGGAGGAGTTGGGATTGGGGGAGGGTTGGCCAGTGGTGGGTGGTTGGATGGGTGGGGATCAAGGATCGGGTGAAAAAATAAAATTTTGAAATTGAAAATATTTTCTTAAAATTAATGTTTTTTCAAAAATGTAATTTGAAATTGGAAGAGAGTTATGGAAAATGTTTTCCTTAATTTTTGAAGGGAAGTCATTTTCCTTAATTTTGAGAAAAATGAGTTGATTTGAAAAATATTTTCCAAAACTTTTGTCCCAACCAAACATGAGAAAATTAGAAAACATTTTCCAGAAAATATTTTCCTTCGTACCAAACACACTCTAAATCTTAATGTTTAATTTCCAATTTTAATTTTAATCTTGATTTATGAATCGTGTGTTATAAACGAGGGAAACAAATAAAGTTTTCATTTGTAAATTAATACCCAAAGGGAGTAAAAAAATAAATGTTTACCGATTATTTGAACTAAAATAGAAGCTCTTAAAAATAAAATGTAAAATAATCAACTTCATTTTTTTTTGTAGTGTAAATCTTTATTTCAGTATTATTTACTTATATTGGTGGCTAACGATGGTGAACTAGAGGTGGGTTTTAGGAGAAGAGAAGAAAGAGGTAGGGTGCGGTTAGTGGCGGGTCCAAAAAATTAAGCTTAGAAGGTAGAAATTTAAAGAAGAAGCTCATGTGGTAATGTAAGTCCGTGGTGAACGTAGTAACTTCGACATGTTTTTTGTACAGGGTATCTCATTGGTTACAAAAGTTAACACCAAACTAATTAAAGTTATTGATAACAAAGCTATGTTGATATACAAAAAATTAGTGGATCAGTTATATTACATAAGTTAATTCCTAAAACACGTGAAAATTAAACTATGAAAAAGTATGCGAGACGGAGAAGAAAAATATTTACCTTAACCTGCTAAATTTATATTATATTATCGTACATCATTAAACATTTCTTCCTATTTTTACCCTGCTCCATTGAACATTCTTGAACTTTTTCTTGTCGAAAAATAGAAGATGATCCAAGTTCAAAAGTTGAACTCAATTCCATGCAACAAAAAAAATCTTAAAATTTTTCTTGAAAAAAAGAAGATGATCCAAACCAGAAGTTGAATCCAATTTTATGCATTTAAAAAAATATAGGATTTGAACCCACAAAATAAAAGTTACTACTTGACCCCTTAACCAATAAGCTAAAGCTTATCACTTATTTGCAAGGGGTTCATTTTAATATATGTACACGTAAAATCAAAATTTGACCCTATATATATAAAGCCCGTTTGGATTGACTTTTAAAAAGAACTTCTTAAAGTGCTAGAACTAATTTTTAAAACAAGTAGTTAAAGTGTTGCTATAAAAGTGTTGCAGTGGAAAAAAAAATTGTTGATGTATTTAGCAAATAAGTGTTGCAAATATTTTTTTTTATCAAAATGTCTGAAATATCCATAAAGTGGTTAACATGATAAAAAGTTGATAATTTAAGGCTTTTATACATAAAAAAAATTAAAACAAAATTAATTTATATATTACATTCATAAGTAATAATATTTTCCTATCATTCATATATTTCTTTATCATCACAAATTATTTATAAGAGGAATTTATTATTTAAGTTGATTTTGTATAGGCAACTTATTGTAGATTTTAAAATATATTATTTGAATAGATCAAAGGAAAGATTTAAGATTTATTTTAGTTACATTCATAAGTAATAATAATTGTCTATCATTCACATATTTCTTAATCATCACAAATTATTTATAAGAGGAATATAAATTTGAAAATTGAAAAAAGAGATGTTAGGGTTAAAACAATATGGGCAATTTGGAAATTGTATAAAAGAATTATGGACAAAAAGGTAATATACTTGGTCATCATAAAAGAGTTATTAAGTTTTTTTTAAAAAAAAAACCTCACCTAAATTTTGACTTTTGACTTAAAATAAGTCACTTTGATAATTGTCAAATATTTTAATAAGTTAAAAGCTGACTTTTAAGTCATCTTGATCAACTTAAAAGCACATTCAAACAGCCTCATTCGACTGAGGGGGTTCGGGTGAACCCCTGAACACACGCTAGGTCCGCCTCTGGTGCGTGTGTGTGTGGGTGTGTGTGTGTGCGTGCGCGTGTGTGTGTGTGTGTGTGTGTGTGTGTGTGTTGTGTGTGTGTGTGTGTGTATTGAAACTCTTATATGTGTGTGTGTATTGAAACTCTTATATTAGGAAGTTTCTTTTTTGTGTTCAAACTTCATTATTATGATTATTTTGAGTTAAAATGTCATATTATTTGATCTATTATTCTGCCACATCACTTACTTGTGTATTATCCAATTTTTTTGACTAGTTGTTAGAAAAATATTTAATAGGTACTTGTTTATTAAGATTTGTGTGTTTAATAGAAAATAAAATTTCTTGAATCCGCCTCGTGTGTGTGTGTGTGTTTGTGTGTGTGTGTGTGTGTGTGTTTGTGTGTGTGTGTGTGTGTTTTGAAACTCTTATATTAGGAAGTTTTCTTTTTTATGTTCAAACTTCATTTTTATTATTATTTTGAGTTAAAATGTCAAACTTCACTTTTATGATTATTTTGAGTTAAAATGTCATATTATTTGATCTATTATTCTGCCACATCACTTACTTGTGTATTATCCAGTTTTTTTGACTAGTTGTTAGAAAAATATTTAATAGGTACTTGTTTATTAAGATTTGTGTGTTTAATAGAAAACAAAATTTCTTGAATCCGCCTCGTGTGTGTGTGTTGAAACTCTTATATTAGGAAGTTTCTTTTTTGTGTTCAAACTTCATTTTTATTATTATTTTGAGTTAAAATGTCATATTGTTTGATCTATTATTCTGCCACATCACTTACTTGTGTATTATCCATTTTTTTGACTAGTTGTTAGAAAAATATTTAATAGGTACTTGTTTATTAAGATTTGTGTGTTCAATAGAAAACAAAATTTCTTGAGGTGTCTAAGTGAAATATGCGAACAACTTTAAGTGACTGTTGATGACTTTCAGTCTTAAATAAATTGGCTTATATCACATATTTTTAAGAGTCGTTTGGTAGTTGAAAGAGTTATGCGTGTACTAATAATATGTAGGTATTTGTTAGGTAGAGTTTACAATATCCCGAGATTACAATATATTTTACTGAGCTAATTTATATTTTCTAGTTTCAAAAATAATTAGTGAGCTAATATTTATTATAATCATTAAAATAATCAACTATATAAGCAACACATTAAAATAAAATAAATATCAATTGCTAAAACAATAAAGTAAATAACAAATAACTAAGGTCTCATTTGCTTTCATTAAGATTAAGACGTCTAAATCTGAATAATTAAGATCTAGATATGTAAATCTAAATAAATATCTTAATATTAAGATGTTCTCTGAATCTGAACAATGAATTATTGAGATTGTTTGTTTTCAATATCTAAATGTGCATATGAAATTAAACTCTATATCAATAAACTTTTATAAAATCTCATTTTAGTAAAATAGTTGTTTTTTAGAAATAATATTGTGAACATTTTATCGTAACGAGGTAATATGATTTATCTTTTAAGAATATAATGTTAAGCTACATCATCATTATTATGACTATTCTTTGCACTCAAAAACTTTGAGAATCTAATATAATGCAATGTAAAATAGTTTATATAGAGTAGCAATATAATGTTTATGAAAATATTTTATTTTATAATAGACATTTATTATTGTTATCGTTCAAATAATTAGTATTTTCTTATTTTCTGGAACCGTGCTAAATATTATATCATGGGAGTGCATATCAATTCAAATATATTGATTAATTTATGAAAGTAAAAGATGTATATTAAGTTAATAACGGTAGGCATGTAACTAACATTAATTAAATAAGAAAATAACTTTTATGAGTTGTTGTGATGTAGTTGAATTAGGAATAGTCTTATTTTTGAGTTTGAATGGTGTTAAGAGTGTGTTACAGATCTGACATTCAAATATATTCAGATCCATTAAGAGGCTTATAAGGAAATAAAACAAACAAGCTTAATGAATTAAATCTGAATAATTAAGATCCGGTCCTAAAAAACAAACACACTGAAGCAAATGTGAATGATTAAGATTCAAAACCCCCATTAAGTGCAAACAAATGAGGCCTAAGTAATTAAATAATTTGTATTCAATATGATTAAGCAATTAATCAATGGCTAATTCAAATTAAAATAAATATCAAATAACTAAAAATAAATAAAAATTGTATTGGCAATGCGTTATAAGAGAAAAAACTGATATTTATTTATTTGACAAGTATTTATTATTTGATTTTTTGTAAGCTATATACATTTATATGTAAAACAATAAAGTGGGTTTTTAATTAACTCTAATGACCCTCGAGGTCATTTGTGTGTTTTATGCGTGCTCTCCTGTTTCTACCCTTTCTGTAGATTTCTTATGTTTTTTGTGTTGTCTTGAGTTGAATAACATACTTTTCGTGGTGTTCAGTATTGTTTGGTGTGAGATTTTGAGTTTTGA